ATTAAAAATGATGTTATACATGGATACTCTATTAGATGTAGATGCTAGGAATACTTATAGGTGTTTTATTTTAGCAGGCTCGAGATGTATATATAGAAATTTGTATAAATTAATGTACGTATGATAATATGGGGATTTGTAATTTGCACGAATGCAATTAATAGGTCACCCTCCTTAAAAACTGGAGGACCTAACAAGACTAATTTCTGAATTTTAATAGTACTAAACTCAATATAAGACAAATATTAGGGATCGAAGTGAATATTTTTATTTTTTCCCAGATGATAAGGATTACTGTTTCCTTGCTGTTTTCTCGGTCATTTGTCTCTAGAGTAATTTTAGGGATGCTTCTTGACTAAACAACTTTGAATTTATTAAAATTACGGGTCGTGGTAGGATGTATAAGTTGTCGATATTTATTTGTAAAGGTCTCGAGTTTGAGTGTGAAATAAATTGTGTTGAGGAACGTTTCCTCCGTAAATAAGTTTTACGCGATACAAATTTGAATTAATCGGATAGTAATGTGAAATCAGGCATCGGAGGGGAAATCGGGGACTTGTTAACTACATTAATGACGTATTTAGAATTTAGGGCTGGTTGATTCTTCTCTTTGTATATGTGTTCTTTTGTTCGTCATTCAGTATTTGGTATTTTCTTGTTCAATTAATTCTATTTTGTATTGCGTAAAACTCATTAAAAAAGGAAAAAAAATCCCATTTCATTTATAGGACTCGAACATGAGACTCTTTATTGAATTAATTTCGCTTAGTCCATGATATTTGTGTTTAGCAACATGTACACTTTTGTTGATGATATTTGTGTTTGATATGAAAGAAACATACTTAGAAAATAAATCATTTTCTGGCAATCAAATATTTAAAAAAATTAAGGACTTTTTTGAAAATATTTTTATTAAAATAAGAAAAATGACTTTATTTGCTTATATTTTTCTATATTAGTAGTTTTTAATTAACTTATAAATTAACGGTGAGTGAAACTGAATTTCTTCTGAAAAGTATCTCCCACGTTAAACTCTTGACAAGGTGATAAAAACACCACTTTTTAAAATTTTATTTTTGCTATTACTTAATGTCCTCTAAATGTTTATTATGGAGATGACATAATTGTTAATCAATTCTCATAATCAAAGAAGTGTGGCACTAATTAAAACAACATGAAGTGGGATTCTTGGATTAAGATAGAAAATGTTTGAAAAAGCCACTAAGAAATATTATTTCAATATATATTAAATATGAACTTGTTAGTTAAACTTTCACAATCAAAGAAATTCTCTTTCTATTTTTTTTATATAAAAAAAATGTCCACAAGTGTTGGCCATTATATAGATTTTGGTCTTGTTGAGTTTTTGTTCCCTTTTAATGTGACATTGCTGAGATTATCAGACCCTACCAATATACATACAATCATTTATATGACAAAATATTATTCTCTCTTATGATTATAAAAAATATAAAAAAAAATTATAATATCTAAAATCAAAGGGGAAAAAAAGAAAAGAAGAAATGATGACCCTATTATGGACTCTTGAATGACTAAAGTCACTATCAATACAAGAATCTAATAATATGGGAACATTTTTTCTATAAATATTTTTAAAAAAAATTAATTCATATACATTAGCGATCTAGTGCATGCAGGCTATTTTTATTCTGTGGTTTGCGAGTTATTGCATAAGAGCATAAATTTTATTTTTTGTGCATCCAAAGAGTTGTAGTTGCGAGTTGACAAGTTACCACAGTTGAATAATAGTTTATTAAAATACTAATGAAGTATATTTTGCTTAATTAACCTCTTTTCTCTTTTTCTTTAGTTACTAAGCTCTACTTTAAGAAACTTATTTTAGTTTTTAAGTGTTTGGTACCAAAAAAAAATGAAAAATTATTTTCTAGCAACTAAACATTTAAAAGTATTTATATCAATATAAAAAGAAAAAATTACCTTCCTTGCTTATATTTTACACATGTATAGCCCATTTAAAATATTTGTAAATTTAGTGTTTGGATAGTGAAATAACACTACGAAAGAAAACAAAAATTAACGATAGATGAATTTCATTGCTAGACAACATATTTCTGTTATTAGCAATAAAAACTAATTTATTATTAATTCATAGCTATTTTTTATTTATTTTTGTTTTTGTTTTTGTACAACCTTAAAGATGGACCATAGTACATTATAATAGTTATTGGTGGCAACAACAATCGGCATGTTGGACAAGTGTGAAGAAAATGGTGACACACTTTACTTACTGTAATAAATAAAACTAATTAAATACAATGTTCAGAATGACATTAATTAATTCATACACTTTTACACACTAGTTAGGTTCAAATTAAAGAGTCAACTCAAATTTCACATTTTATTTACTTTGAAAAAAAATTAAAAGTTTTTTATATATAGTTTTGTTTTAAAACTTGAAAGTAACGAGATTAAGATTGTGGTGAGATGAATAAGATTATTCAATCTTTAACTAGGTTTTGAGTCTAAGTCGTTCTGAAAGGCGAATTATCTTTGTAAGAAATATTTTATTTTATGAGAAAAATTTTATGATGTAAATATAAATTAGCCAGAGATCAATGCAGGATCAAATATCGGATAAAAATACCGTTCGAAAATAAAACAGACATGATTCGTAATTTATAGATAAAATGATTTTTTCGAGTCCAATATTTATGTTAAATTAATTTTCAACGAATTATGATTATATGAAATGAGTTCTTTTCGTAATCTATAACTTAAAAGGTCAAATTGTTTGATCTTACATAATACTGTGCATAATATTTTACTAGAAATACTTTGTTTTCGTAGTTTGTTGATACTATATGTTGATTTTTGTATTTTTAATTATCATATTATTTTGTTATAATTTTTGTTATGTTACCATCTGCCGTTTGTTGGTATTAAGTATAGTTATTTTATACTTTCGTTACTGCTTTTTTTGAGCCAAAGATTTTAACGAAAATAGTCCCTCTGCTTTTGAGATAAGGGCATACGTATAAAATAAAAAAAAACTTTGCTAAAGTGATAAATTGAGATAGTGGCCATCATTTTTTGTTCTTTTTTTGAAAGGGCATTTTATTGTAGTTCAAAGTATAGTATTTGTTCATATTTAGATTTTTCTTTATAATGATTACTTAAAAATTGTTATAAAAATAATTATTATTTCATTTAAACTTGTAAATTAGACATGATCAGTGGGTCACCTAAATACTGTCTCCCTAATAGTTGATTGCTAACATATGAAGTGCGTGTGTTGACTATTTGTTTCTGATATTTTTTTTAAGGAATTTGACAATACATAAAGACAAATAAAATTATTTAATGTAATTTCTTTTTTACGAATGATACAACTTATTCATACGTTATATTTATCAAAACAGTAAAAATAAAAATATACATAACAACCATCCAAATAAGATCACGTTTTTTCTCAATGAGACCTTAAAAAAGTGACAAAATAGAGGTTTTAAAATTTATATTTTTATATTGAAAGTATCTTTAATTTATTTAATTCTTGGTACATTTCTTTTTTTTATATATAATTTTAATATCATTGTGACTTAGGTAATAAAGTTTCGTTTTGATAAAATTTAGTGAAATTTTAAACCAATTTAATATACATTCAAATAATTTCAACATATAGTAGCGAACAAACGTACATAATGATATGATTCTATATTTTATACTGAAATTACTATATATTGTCAATCTCAAGCTTTTTAATAATTCTAACATCGTTATAACTTACCTAATACATATAGCTATAATATACTGAAATTTCAATTTAATCTCATATTGTTTTTTTTTTTTTTACTTTTTTGAAAATTTCAACATATTCAAATATTATTTTTTTTGTAAGAAAAAGAAATTGTCCGCCAGCCCGGATTCTTCGCGGCTTTGTTCGAGACATATTTTCTACTATGCAGTGCTAAAAAGTTACTGTTTCCTCCCCCCCCCCCCCATATTATATTTTACTTTATATATTTTAGAAACTGTATGAAAAATATAATAATGTAAATATATTTAAATAAATCACGATAAATTTATTGTTTCTACTTTACTATCGAATTCAAACTATGTCGTATAAATTAAGCATAATTCTTAAATAACACCCCATTATTTTATTAATAAAATCACGTACAAGGTCCTTTACTTTTTCACTTCTGATAATACATCGCTGCGTTGAGGATTTATTGAAATAATCTATTTATCTCACAAAAAACATAAATAAAATGAGTGTACACCCTAACACATGAATATACTAATAAAGATTGTAGTATAATGATATTACTCTTTCATTTTTAATTAGAGGTCTCAAATTCGAGTCGTCCTGAATATTGAGTTATTTTTATTAGGAAGAATTTTATTCCTATGAAACTTTCCAACGTGAATTCAAACCGAAGGATGAAAAAAAGATGGAAAAATTACCCAAATACACAACTTATTTTACAATATTCACTAATTTTCCCTACCATTTAAAAAAAATACAAAAAATTCTACTCTTTTTTATTCTCGGATACATCACTATACATGATGTATCGGTTGAATATATCATTATTTTACGCAATGTATCGATTAAATACATCACTTTATGCGATATCGGTCGGATACATCACTATTTGCGGTATATCATGACATTGAGCGATATATTCAAAATCAGGATACGATGTATCAAGACATTTTAAAGATATATTCGAATTCTACCTAATATAAGAGATTTTTGAAATTTGAAAAATGATAGGAATATAATGTAATTAACTGTTTAAGACAATGAAATTTGTGTAATTCTCAAAAGAGAATAAAGAAATTACATTACATAAATATATTGTTGTTGTAATTTTTAAATACCACCCTTATTATTTAATTAAAATAACTTACTAGCCCCTCAACTTTTTCACTTTTTCCCTAAAAATCCCCCTTTTTTTCCATAGTTTCTTCAAATGTTGTCCCTCTGAATTTACGCCGAATGGCAGCTGAAACCGCTCTTTCCTCCCATTATATTACACCACATGCTCTTCTCATAAAAAATCTCTCCTCTCTTATTCTCTACCAACAAAAAAAAAAAAAACTTTATATTATACAATTTTTCTCTCTTTATTAACTTATTAAAACTCTCAGTTTCTTGTTTTTCATCTTCTTCATCCTCTGCTTTAAATTTTGCATGTTAACTTTTTCAAGAATCCCTTTTGTCCTTCTAGTCAAAACAACAACAAACAAGTAGATAAATCAAAAGTTTTTATATTTTTAGACACCCTTTTGTTCAATCTTTAATGGGTTGTTCTTCAAATGGTTAATCAAGTTTGATTTTTTTTTTTACTGGGATTTGGTTGTTTTTAGGATTTTCTTGAAAAAAAAAGGAGTTTTTGAGTTTTTTTTTGTTTTTATAGAATGGCTCCAGATAACAACAACTGGTTATCATTTTCTTTGTCTTCTATGGAAATGTTGAACTCTACTTCTTCTCATCATCATCATCATCAGAGTAATAATAATAATAATAATTCTTCTATGCTTCATCATCATCATCATCATCATCAATCCAACATGAAATTTGATCTTGCTTCTTCTCCTGCTGATTCTCATCAGTACTACTTTGCTGATAACTTCTTTCCTCATGGTATGTTTTTGCATCTTTTAATCTCATTTTCATCTGGTGAAATCATAATAAAGATTCCGTCTTTAATCAGAGTTCTCGAGTTTTAGTTCACAGACTTCCTTTTAAGTTCAAGAGCTAAAACCTCATTTTTTAAAAGATTTAAAAAAAATTAGTTTTAGTTATGAAATCTAGTTTTAATAGAGTTTAAGAGCTAAAATCTTAATTCTTAATCAGAGTTTTTGAGTTTCAGCTACAAAAGCTAAAGCCCCATATTAGTTTTTGTGACTATATGAATCCACCTTTAACCAGAGTTTTCAAGTTTTTTGCTATAAATATGTGTTCTTTTTAAGTTTAGAAAAAACCCCATATCATTTTTTTTTGACTAATGTGAATCTAAATTAGTCGAGCTAATAACACTTTTAATCAGAGTTCTCGAGCTATAAAAACTAGTTTTTTCAGTTTTAGAGCTAAAACCCCATATCATTTTGTTGTCTGTTACGACATGAATCTAGATTAGTCGAACCAGTAAATTTCGAAACTCAAATGTGAAATGACAAATAGAGATTTTGACTGAAGTTTTTTCTTTCATTTGGTTGTTGAGGAAAAAGACAAAGAGTATGCAACCGTGTGTATGATATTGTTTCGGTTACTGCTAAAAACATTTTTTTCATTCATCATCATCTCTTATTTAACAGACTGTTTTTTATTTTATTAAATTAAATTAAATTTAATTTTCTTAGCTCAGCATAAGTTTTGTTTCTATTGTAAATAAATTCAAAACTTGGTCACTAAGTTTTGGTCAAAAAAAAAATTGATCTCATTTTTATCTCATTTTTCTCACCATTGTTGCAGGTTGGTCTAATCCGAAACCTCAAGTGATGTATTCAGAAGCTGAAAAGGAGGTGATAGGATTAAACATCAATACAGATTCTTCGATTTTTCAGAACTTTGTTGAACATCCACCACCAAAGCTTGAGGATTTTCTCGGTGGTGATTCGTCTTCACTGACTCAAGATTCGTCTTCGTTAACTCATATCTATGAAAATCCAAATGGGTCTGCTGCTACTGCTGTTTATAATAACTATAATGAACATCAAGATTTCAAGAACATTACTGGGTTTCAAGCTTTTTCGACTAATTCGGGTTCGGAAGTTGATAACTCAGTTGGTACTGAGTTTGGCACTAATGAGTCATGTAATGATTTGGGTTATTCACAATGTGTAGCTGCTGCTGCTGCTCCTCCTCTGCTGCCTACGGGCGGCGGAGGTGGAGCTTTGTCGTTAGCAGTTAATGCTGCTACGACTACTACTAATCAGTGTTCGGGAAATGAAAAGGCGATTGTTGCTGTTGCTGATTCTCAGAGTTGTAAGAAAATTTCTGATACTTTTGGGCAAAGAACTTCAATCTACAGAGGTGTAACAAGGTATAATTTTTTTAATTTTTTTTTATATGGGTGTTTGATATTTTAGTAGATTTAGATGAAAAAATAAGTGGGGTATAATTTTCTTGATTTTTTTTGCAGACATAGATGGACAGGAAGATATGAAGCTCATCTATGGGATAACAGCTGTAGGAGAGAAGGCCAAGCTAGAAAAGGGCGTCAAGGTAGTACAAAAGACGTAACTTTAATTTATTTTTAATCGTATTATTTTGTTGTAGTTATCGTTTTGTCATCATGTGTTTGTGTAGTATTTTGTTTTTCTTGATTTGAGATCTGATGGTCTATTGGGAATAGCCTCTTGATCTCTGAGGGTAAGTGTAAGGATAAAGTCTGGGTATACTCTATCCGTCCGGGATCGGGACCTCGATTACGCGGGCTATGTTAAGACTTGAGTGTGATAAGAAAGTTGCATGCAATTGAAAGGAGTTTGGGGTATTTTTTTCTTGCTTTCAAATCAATAAATGAAAGCTTTTAGGATGATTGAGTGAGTGAGTGAATGACGGAAATACAAATATTTGCAGTTTTGTTGTACTTTTGGTGTGTGTTTCACTGCAACAAATTTTCTTCTCTGTGCTGTGCTGCTCCCTATTCTATATACTATTAGTACTGCTGCTGCTGCTGCTGCTGCAGAAATGGTAGTTGTAGTATTGGTATTCCTTTTTTTCTCTTTGTTTTCAATTATTCTTTCATATTTGATCAGATTGGCAGTCATTTTGTTCATGTTTTTGGTGTTATGGTCTTTGTTATGTCATATGCTAAAATGTTCTTTGTATGCCAACAATTGTAAAAAATACGTCTTTGTTCTTCGGTTTAGTAGTGGTGTTAGTATAGCGCGTGATGTGTGGTAGCGGTGGAACCAAGTAGGTTCATGAACCCTTTGATGTCGTTTATATATGGTTGAAATCGTTTTTATGTATGTTGAACTTCTTTGACTTTTTCGTGTTTTTCTTTCTTCGTATTTTGGAACCCTTGGTGAAAAATCTTGGCTCAGCCACTGTGTGTTGGTTAAGCCTAAGGGCAAAAGCCGAACATTTTAGTGGAGAAAGGTAGAAGAGTGAGTCAATTATTCACCGAGTTTCAAATTGTCTCTATTGACTCGCGGAAATTTTCCGTTAAGATGCACACTGATGACTCTTCAAGATTTGTCCAGAAGTTATTCTACTTCTTTATCCATAGATTTTTTCCTGTTATACAGCATCTAAAATGACTACACCTTCTATCCTACCCCCCACCCCCTCCTGAGAGTACACATACCTCAGCTAGTCTAAACACTAGCTAGCTTCTGGTACTCTGAAAATTATCTCAGATTGCTTTTACTTTTTTGCTTTTTCCCCCCTTTCATTTCATGGGCCAGTCACTCTCATTTAGTTTGACCAAAAGTGTGTCCAATCTCATTCCCCACACATGAAAATTTTAAATGAACTCCCCACCATATTCTTTAATGTGTAGTACATAGCCAACTTTTGAACCAAAGGGAATGATAGATTTGACTCATCAGAGAATTGTTTATCTTAATTGATCTTCAATATGAATTCGTCCTTTTGCACTTTAACGTCCCGAAAATAGTTTGAATCCAAGTGCTTAGTTAGTAAATACTCCATTCATATCAGTTTATGTGACAATGTTTGACTTGATACAAAGTTAAAGAAAGAAATAATACACTTGAAATTTGTAGTCTGAAACACGTTTCGATCATGTGTGTGGCTATAAATTATATTTGTGTCGTAGTGTTTGACTTGACACAAAGTTAAAGAAAGAACAAATACACTTGAAATTTGTAGTTTGTAACACGTTTCGACTTCCGACCATGTGTGTGGCTATAAATTATTACCGTAAGGGGGAAAGGGGTATTGTAAAGTTAAATTGTTATAAGAAGAGGGAGTATTGTTCGAATGAAATCTTGAGGATTTGAAAGCTTAAACGCCTATTTACGAGTTATGTTGTTCGGAGTCCTAAAAGTGCAACTAGGAGATGTAGTGCATTTTTGGAGGATGATTCGATATGGCGGTGACGTTAATATTTTGGAGGGTCGGAGAAACATAGTTCACAAGTCCATGATAACAAAAATATGTTTATTTTTTTCCTAGTTTGGGCAAGACACAAGTCACTATCTTACCAACCTACAAAAAGGATGTCTACAAAATGTGTTAAAAGCTTAAGCATGCTATTGGCTTTTCTGTTTTGTTTATACTCTTTTTTTTTCCCTTTTCCCTTTAAACACTTTTTATGTTTAGAATCTTGACTAAATATCGTCAGCTCATATAATCTAATCTTCAACTCCTTTTTTTCTTTCATGAAATGGCGGGATCGCGCTTTCTTGCTATAATTCAATCTACAGTGTACTTAGGTAAGTTCTTTTCTAGTCTTATAATTACATGTTTAACAAAGTTTAGCATAAAGTTGAGATTTTTATATTTCAAAATTTTTCGAAAATGATGAATAGGTGGATATGACAAAGAAGATAAAGCAGCAAGGGCATATGACTTGGCAGCTCTAAAGTATTGGGGTCCCACAGCTACCACCAACTTCCCTGTAATATATACTATTTATATACCTTATATTAAATTTTTGCTGTTGTTTATGGGCATATTCAATTATTGCATGGAAAGTGACATGACCATGAAAATAACAACTTGTGTCTAAACTTGGTTAGATTTTATTTTTTCAGGTTACTAATTATACTAAAGAATTGGAGGAAATGAAACACATGACTAAGCAAGAATTCATTGCCTCTCTAAGAAGGTTTTGCCTTGATTTATTTTCTAATTTCTTATTGTAATTGCTTTTGTCTTTTTTTGTGTATCAATTATTCTTATCGGATTATGATGTTCAAATATTTTCAGGAAAAGTAGTGGTTTCTCCCGAGGAGCTTCGATCTACCGGGGTGTGACAAGGTACCAATTTTGTTGCAAGTTATTACTCCCTTCGTTTCATTTTACTTGGCACATATAAGGCTAGTTTAGTAAAATGCACTAGATTTTTTTTAAGGATTGTGCCAAGTCAACGTAGACCAAGTAAATATGAAATAGATGGTATACCTTCTTAAATTATTGTCAGTGTCGTATACCGATCTTAGTAATACTGTGCTAAATTATGTAAGATCACATTTGACGGGTTCGGTTCATGGTGATTTTCAACACAATACATGTGGAATTTTTTCAGAAGTGCAATGGGGTTTGATAAGAACCTTAAAAGTTGGACGTGTCGAGATTAAAAAATGTTGTAGTTCTTTAATTCCTCGTTTCGTTAGTGGCGGTGACTTAACGTTTGATGAAAACATTGCAGGCATCATCAACAAGGCCGCTGGCAAGCGAGAATTGGCCGAGTTGCTGGAAACAAGGATCTTTACCTAGGAACATTTGGTAAATTATTGTTCTTAATATTCAAACTGGAATTAGAACTATAAATGAATTTGGAATTACGCGTCTTAATGTTAATTGAAATTTGGATTATATTGTCAACAGCTACTGAGGAGGAAGCAGCGGAAGCGTATGACATAGCAGCCATAAAGTTCAGGGGAGTGAATGCAGTGACCAACTTTGAGATGAATCGTTATGATGTCGAGGCCATCATGCAAAGCTCTCTCCCCGTTGGTGGAACCGCTAAGCGTTTGAAGCTCTCCCTTGAATCCGAGCAGAAATCATCATCGAGCAATAACAACCACCAGCAGCAGCAGCAGTTGACTCAATGCAACAGCACCAACAACATCAATTTCGGGGCAATGCCACCCGTCTCTGCTATTCCCTGTGGAGTGCCATTCGATAACACCACCCCTGCTTTCTATCACCACAACTTCTTCCAGTACCTCCACCCCGGCAATGCAAGTGTCCCCGATGCCTCCAATGCAGCTGCAATGCCGTTGCTGCCCTCGGCTGCTGACCTCTTCATCTGGCCTCACCAATCCTATTGACCAACCTCAAAATGATACAATAGCTAGGCTAGCTAGTTTTTACTGATTAGCGAAACTCGACTCTTGGTAATGTGTTAGATCGTCTATTGTTTTTCGTACTGACCTCTTCTCTCTGACCCGTGATAACGTTTTAGTGTAGCGTTTAACTGGTATCCGGTATCGACAGGTTCAATGTTGTAAAGTGCCTTCAATTCTAAGACTTTATAAAGTAGTAGATGCAATGTTGACAGGGTACTTAGGGAGCACTCATTGTGGAAAATTTTTGCTTTCTTTTCCTCTAGGTTCCATAAGCTTTCTTGAGCTGCTCCCAAGGACCATATGGATGTTTTGCTAGTCAAATTGACATAGAAAAAAAAAAGAAAATGATATAAAACTCTTTACATTTTGCAATTTGCCTGTTTTATTTGTTCTTCATTTGTTTTGTCATTCAATGATGTAGCATTTTACAAATCCAACCTAATTTTTGGAGTGAAGTTTGGGGAGGGTAGTAGAGTGTATGCAAATGTATGAAGATGTTCACGTAGATTCTTGGGGTGTACGCAATCTTACCTTTGTCCTGTGAAGGTAGATTCTTGGGTGTATGCATTCTTACCCTTGTCCTGTGAAGGTAGAAAGATTGTTTTCGATAGATGTTTGGTTTGTATGCAATCTTATACTTTGCGATAGACGGTTGGTCTGCATGCAATCTTATACTTCTCTGGTGAAGGTTTTTAGGTAAACACTCTATGTGTATGCAGTTTTATTTTTATCTTGTGTAAGTAGAGATAGATAGAGAAGGTGTTTATGGTAGAGTCTCGATTCAAATCAAGAATCATGTCATACTAGAATCAGGAAACATGTCATACTAGAATTGAAGAGTAAGATAATAAGAAAGTAATACAACAACGCATGAAAAGGAAATCACACAACACTTGACTACTTACTAACCTGAATGTTCGATTTCATAATTTCATATCTAGAATCACGACTCTGATAAGCTGTAGGTGTGTTATGTCTTAATCATTTATTAGTGTAACAAGATTACAATATATTTTCAGTCATTTACATAATCAAACTAGAAATTAGTGAATGAATACTAAATAAAGAGTTGTTAAATAACATCGACCTGAAATATCATGTAACTAAAGGTGTTTCAATAAATTTATCTAAATATCTTCTTCCTTAAATTTTTTATTTAGTTTAAAAGGAGGTCATTTCATAGCTTTTTTTTTCTTTTTCAAAATCATTTCAAAACAGGACAGGCTGCAGTAGACCTTACCCTAACCAAAAGATGGAAGTGAAATGGCAAATAGTCAACAAAAGACACCTATAATGTTTTGACAAGATTTTTCATGATTTAAATTGGGCTAGATATCAATTCAAATTTTAACGAGTTAAAATACATAGGTAAAATGAGCTGAGTTAATAAATGAATGAGTCAATGCATTGCATCAAAAATGATTTTTAATGGCAATTAATTAACGGTAATAGCTTCATTGCCACTAAAAATGTATTTTTAGCGGCATTTAAAACTTTTTGTAAATGTCCCTAAAGTCTATAGCGACGCTGAATCCAATGACAATTAACTAATGCCGATAAAAGTTTTATCACTCTTTATTAATGTGTATATTTATTATCGGTAAAGGTTATTTTTATTGTAGTGATACTTAATCATAATTTAGACGGATTGGTCGAGTTATGATTTCATGGGTTGATTTTGTCATCTCTATGTATAATAACTAGCAAGTTGAGATGTTATTGAGATTGCATTCTGAAATTTTCAACATGGAAGTGATGGATGTTATCAACTCAATCAAAGAAAAGTTGATGATCTTTTAAGAAGATATACTAGTTACATCATATAAGGTTTTTGATGTTTTGTCAGTTTGAAACCATACTTTGGCCCATTTCTCACTATGGTTATTAAACAAACACAATATAATATTGAAAAAACATTACAGATAGAGACAATATTTGTTACCTATTGGTCAAGAAAGTTTTGTCCAATTTTTCAAAATGAGCTTTTTCCCTTTGTTTCTTTTGTGTGATTGTTGGGTCGCTAAAGTCCAATATATTCATACGATGATAAGTGTAATGGATATGCATATATTAAGATAGATATGCGGTCATAAGTATTAGATGACAATAAATGTGATTGTGTTCGACAGAAAGTGAAAGTACACATATCGAGAATAAAATGAACAAATGTCGTTTGAGATAGTTTTTTCATGTTCTGCATTGACTTCCAGATGGATCCATAAGTATGAACTCATAGTGAATGAAGGTGAAAGTAAAAGTGCACATATCGAGGATAAAATGAAAAAATGTCGTTTGAGATAGTTTTTCATGTTCTGCATTGACTTCCAGATGGATCGATCTATAAGTATGAACTCATAGTGAATGAAGGTGTTAAAATAGGTCGATATACACCTAAAACTACATATAATGAACAAACTGTCTTAAAAGACATAGTCTCTTATAATCTTTGTAGACCTAGCAAAAAATAGAGCACAATCAAAGAAAAAAAAAGCTTTATAGGCGATAACAACATGTTTATATGTTTATTTTTAGTTTCTAACTAAGATTAACGCATAATTGTTGTTATTGCTACAATATCAAAATAGTTATGACTAATAATAAATTCTACCTCCTTAAGTAGAGATAAAATTTGTATATACATTATATACTCTTCTTCTCAGACCCCATTTATAAAATTACGATATGTAGTTATTGTTTGACAATTTGAGAGTATAATAAGAGTTCTTAATTGTATTCCATCTTTTCTCTCATACAATCTTATGAAATGTATGAAAATTAAAGTTACACACAAAAAAAAAAGCAATTCATTTGAAACAAACAAAAAATATACAAGACGAGGAATTGGGCCGGTTAACTATCTTAACCGGCCCAATCCCTTATGGGCCATAACCAAATCGGGTTCAACCTTTAAAGCCTCTTCAAAAGCATTATGGGCCTCAATTTTCAAGCCCTTAATCTCATAACATTGGCCCAACAAACAAAAGGCCTTAGCCCGATCCGAACAATTCAATTTCACAGCTTCCAATAGATCCATTAAAGCCGAATCAACCCGTCTCTTCCGGTTCAACGCCACCAGTAACTCCGCCCGTTTCAGCAGCGCATCGGCTCTTTCACCGCCGGACAACGACTTCACCGCCGGCGGAGATAAGGCGGAATCCAACGATTTTAAAGCGGCGAGTTTGTGTCCGATTAGATCGAGAGATAAAGCTTTGAGAATATGAGCTGCTGGATCTTTAGGATCGATCGATAAGGCTTTATCAGCTTCGCCGGCGGCGAGTTTAGCGAGGTTGAAGGAGGTGGATTTTTTGCTCCGATTGGATTTTGCACGGGAGAGGAATTGGGCGCCTTTGATGAAATGGGAATTGGCTTGGTTTGTGGATCGGGTTTTTGATCGGAGTCGGGTTAAGGCTTGTTTGGGGAAATTATATATGGTATAGAAAATTCCGAGAGTGAAAAGAAGGATAACTAGCTGAATCAGTATGTCTGTTTCCATTTTTTTTTTTGGAGTGACAGCCAAACAGGGACTATGCTTTGAGCTTCACTAATTCTTGTGTTTTAATGGAGGACTGTATTTTTTTTTTGAGTTTTGGTGGTGGTGGTCTTTATTTTTGGAGGCCCATAGACAATTATAGGCCCATTGGGCTCGAGTAATTCGAATTTGTTTTGCGTAAGACTCATTAATAAGTAAAAGAATCGAAAGTGGTTAATTTGGCATATTACCAAATTAGCCTCTATTGTTATACATTTAGATATAGGGATATTGAGAATACGCCTTAAAGATCAATAGTTAAGAGTGGTTTTGTTAGAATAGGCAATAATGAGATCATTGTTTTAGTTGATGATGCGAAGACGAGTTATTAGTAAAAATTGGAGGAGTAAAATGAAAAAATTCCATTTTTGCGAAGAGAACAAGATGTTGCTCCCCTTACCTCTTTGTTAATCTTTCTCTATATTTATTATAATGAGGATTGAGCTGTCTATCCTCTTTTCTATTTCGACTTCTTTGAAAGGTTAAAGAGTAGGAAGGGAGCTAGACCTGTTTGCTCTTCCTCATGAATCATTTTGGATGTAATTTGTCTAAACACTTGATTAGAAGCTTTGCGTTGGGATGAAGTGGATAGAATTACACTCGTTTTCTTAAAGATCCTTGTTAAAAGAAAGGACTTGCTAACAAGTTTTTTGATATTTAGAGTTCAAACACTTTGTTTAAGGATGAAGAAATCTTATCAATTTGTAAAAGTAATGCATCTTATATATGAAGTATCATTTTTTCGATACCAATCTAAAATACCAAAAGAAAAGGGTCCTCTATGGTTTATTTTAGAACTTGAAGGGAGAAAAATAGAAAAGGAAAATAAATTAGTTAGTTTTGCTCTTTCCTTTTTGTTTTTAGTTTCTTATTCGATGTTAATTCTGATTCATGCAAAGTAAAGCCTATTTAAAGGGAAAAACGCTCGACTCAAACCCGAAACGTCTTATTATTAAGTGTGGAGAGTCTGAAATGAGCTGTTTTAATCCTTTTCCCATATGTTATAATGATTTAATGAAGTACAATCACTTGGTTTTTACTGCATCAATTTTGTGCTGCAACATTTTCACATCCAAATATTGAGACAGAGTGTATGACAAACTCAGATGTTTTTGATACTGCTTCTCAGAGTTAAGATGTACAGCATCTCGAAAACTTTCAACCCGAAAAAACAGCTAGTGGAATAATACTGGATTGAACTCTTGATTTTACAAGATATATGTACAAACAGAGAACAAGTAGAGGAACAACTAAGAGCAGCAGATGCAGAACATCGATTGATGATGAGACTCGATGATATCAAGATCAAAACATTACTCCATAACGAGCTGCATATGACGATTGAGATCCTTCAGATAAGTTGTGCTACTGTAATCTTCTAAATCACAAGCATCCAGCATCAATGCTCTTCCTCCTGTCGATTTCTGCTTCATGTCTATTGGTAAGTTCTCGCCTTTCAATAGCTGAACAGCCTGCATTGTCCAAGAATTTACAAACATTCAGGCAAAATGATCATTTTGTACTATTCAATATCATTGTGTACCAAATTGTATCGATGTATTTGAAGTCAAATTCAAGTTAGGTTTTGTTTGAAATCCTTGTTTTCGCGGAAGGACAGGTTATCTAGATCACTAGCT